CAGGTGATTTCTACACTCAGCAATGCAACGGCAGCTTCAGCCTTCCTTTAATGGTGACAAAGCCAACGGCTCCAGGAAACATGCCCTGGGCTCAGGGTGAGAGTTTCGATTTTCTGTGAAACATCCGGTTCGCATCCCATGATCACTCTCGCTCTGGTCCCTGGGCTGGTGGGCAGATAGATACTGGCCCGACTAGGAACGGTGTGCTCCTTGGGTGGCGTCGGGGTCCCCTGTGCTGCACGTCCTTTATTTTTTACACATCTACCACCAACATCAGGTTTTATTAACACAGGAGACAGCTTTCTAATGAAATATGGCCCTTAACTTCCTTTTATATTTGGTAATATCCTGAACTCTTTATCCAAATGAAGCATAAAGCACTTACAACTGTGTTTTGCCATGCCACTGACCGAGGAATATATTCATTTGCAGTAACATGGGATTCAATGGAGTGGAAAATAAGCTCTGAAAATTGCTCTTGCCACAAAATTGTATCAATAAATAGGAAAAGCCCATTTAGATTTCACTGACCAGCCTCCCCCCTGTGACAGAAATTAATATGGCCAAGTGGTGTGTGTTGAAGGTAAGAAGCAGAGGTGCAGAGGATGAGTGCACCCTGTATCAAGGCCTGCCAGTGTAGCTAGCTTATTTTATTGTCCAAAGAGAGCTGAGGGTGCGTGTGTGTGTGTGTGTGTGTGTTGCAATGAGTGTGAGGAAGGCACAAGTCCCTGGGGCTGAGGCAGGAGCAGAGGTGCTGGACATTGGGCACTGGGCATGCGGCATGCTCTTGCTGTTGTGTTTGTCTGCAGACACTGAAGCCCTTCCCCAAGGGCATCCATCCCAAGACAAGAAAGGGAGAAGCAGGCTCATATTGTATTTCTTTGAGTTACTGTGTCTTCTGGCTGTTAATTTCAATATATAGTACCATGTTCTCATCATAAAATCCTAGCAGACATATCCAAAAATAAACACGTGGCTGATCTGTGGGGTTTTTTCCCATGTGGAGATGAATAAAACATCAAGTTCAGGTGTAAAGTAGTCAATTATGATGTTCAAAATTTGTGGAAACTACAAAGACTTGTGATTGACGATATGGAAATAAAGTCAAACGAAGAATCAGAACAGTCGGTTCGGCGTGAGTTTTTGCAAACTGGGTGATCTCTCTGAACTCAGTGGCCAGGTTTGTAAAATGGCTTTGCTACTTTGTGTTTTCCAATTGTTGCAATCAGATGAGACTGTGTGGGCAAAAGTCACTGCGATGTTCTGTGAACACTTGAGGCTCTGTTATTATTTTCCATCATCAGCACGGATGTTGAAGAACAACAATTATGAAAGTAAATTACACCTTTAGGAACTTCTTTGTCACGGAAAAGGCTGAAATACGTGGTGAAAGATGATCCACCTGAGTCTGAGGAGCCGGATTCCAGTGCTGCACCTGGTTAAAACACAGCCAGTCCTGGAGCAGCGAACACAACCCCTCTACTTCTCACATCTGTGAAATGAAGAGTCTGCACTGAATTATCTCCAAAATTCGTTCCCAGTACCCAGTTTTGTGCCTTTGATCAAAGAGGGATTATGCTGAAAACCCAGGTGATAAGCTAGAAGTGAAAGAGCATATGTTGTCATTTTAAGAAACCAGAAGATCCCAATTCTCTGTGACTTGATGTTAAAGAACAAGGTCATGGAGGAAATTTTGGAACTCTTTTTGGAGCTATTAGAAATAGAGATATTTCCTGGGATAAACTTGTCTAAACCAAAATCACCTTTCTTGGGCTGTTTCGAAACCTTCCCATTTCCCTTTTTTAATTTTCATTTGAATAATCTGTCCAATGTCAACGAAGCTTGCTAGAGATGGCAGAGTCTCCTTTCCAGACACCCGCCAAGATTCTGAAGTCTTGGCAAAGATGTAAAGGCTGTATTCAGGAGCCTATTACCACCCTTGTAGAAGGTGGCTGTACTACCTCCTCTCCTTGCCAATAGGGTGCCTGGAGTTGGTGGGGGTGGGGGGGGGCTCCTTTTAGTGTGGACATGCAGAATAATAACCAGGGGAGGAGACTCACAGCCTCTTGCTGGTTGTCTGAGCCCCTCCCTGGCCCTCTAGGTGGCCGTGAGGAGACCTGACAGTGGTAACTCCACGCGGTGCTCAGCACACATCTCCCTGTGTGATCTTGTCACACTGCCCCTTCCGCCCTGCAGGGTTTCTGCTGCTCTCATTAGTCAGAGCCTAGCAGATGATCATACAGACTTGTAGCAGGTGGAACAGGGGAAGGAACATTGACTTGTAGTCTGTGTCCCATTAGCAATGTGGGTAAAGGGAATCTGTGCTGTGTTCTCTGGCTCCAATTAGTTGCCAATTAGACTCTTGGAAAAAGTGCAATTCCTTAATCAAACTTTGGGAAAACTTTTCCAATGCAGAGTCAACAGTGCTCCCCACAATCTGGTGGTCAAAACTAAGGCTCTGATTTTGTCTCTCTTGACTAAAGCACCCGGGGTAGCTCCAGAGGCCAACTGACATATCGAATGTATGAATGAAATATGTAAAACATTCTCTTTGTAAAAGCCCAAACAATAGAACTAAAGCCCATTCTCTTTATCATGGTCCCATGTCCTTCCCAGAGGAGAACGCTGTCAGTGGGTTACTTTTGTTTGTAGATATGTGGATGTATGTAACAGGGAGATGAACAGCCACTCAGCTCAGGAGTCACTAGATACCTCCCTGCAGGATCCACTCAGAGATCCTGCTACCATCACCCAAAATGCCCTCCTCAAAATGTGAAAAGGAAAGTGTTGGGATTTGTTGGCTTAGGGAAAGAGTGCTGGGACTCTTCCCATGTGACTTCATGGAGAATGAAAGGACTGAACTCCATCCTCAGGCCGTCCTTTTGTAGTTTGGGAGTGTCTGGCTTCTGATTCACTGACTGGGCATCTACTGGGAGAGTGGCCTTGTGCTCGCCATTTAGCACTCATTACTGGATCCACAGGGGACCGGGGATCTCATCCACAGTCTTTGGTTTGGAGCAAACTAAGGAGTTTTCTGTCCTTCAGGTGGACACAGAAGAAGGTGCCCTGAACACTCTCACTGTTACCTGATGGAGCTGTCTGACTTCCAGGGGAGGAGACCCTGTCCATAAGAGAAGGTGGCTTTGAGCCACTAGAGAGGTGGATCAGAAGGAATCAAATCAGAGCCTTTCATCTATCTCAGGAAAGGTTCACCACGTTCCCCAAAGGAGGATGTCTGCCAACTCATGGCATCAAGGACCAGACGGTGCCAAGAGAACACCTGAGCTCCAATTCCACCTCTGTTCCAGTACAGTGGAGGGGGAGGGCGGGGAGCACACCAGGAAGGAGGAGGAAGAGAAGAAGCAGAAAAGCAGACAAGCTTCCCCCCTCCAAGTCCCTCCAGCCAGGAATCAGGCTGAATTAGGTAGGAAGGAAGGACACATGAGATTGAGGGCTTAAACTGGGACAAATGGATTGGACTCACCTGGAGTGTTTAAGGTGTGACAGTGGCCAGAAAGCTGTGAGGTCTTTCCTGCATATCATTAAAATCTTGGAAGGGGAAATTCAATGCAGTTAAAAGCAATGACAAAAAAAAAAATCAATTCCATATTTGTCTCCCAATGAATCAGACTTGTCAATAAACCAGTTATGTGCAGAAAGATTTAGTGCTGTTTGTGTTTTTAACATTAACAATGTCATAATGTATATATCATGCTGTAACTTGCTTTCTCCCTCCCCAATATGTCTCGGAGATCTTTATCTGTCAATATACTGGGATTTTTGTTGTTATTTATGACTGCTGCATAATCTTCCACACTAGAACCTTCCTGGAGTGAATCTGGCCACTCTGTGATGATGGGATTTCAACTGTTGGGAAATACCACAGGCCATGCAAGAGGGCAAGGTCTGGCATAGATTTCTGAAGTGGGACCATGGCTTCTAAACTGGGAATTTGTCCAGGATTTCTGACTCCCTGGTGTTCTCTAAGGCTGGACTCTAAGGATGTGAAGATGGAGGAGAGTGGAGAGTAGATGGCCTCATCTTCTCCTCTCCATCTTCCCAGTCACAGCTCCTCAAAACCCCATCTTACCAAGGTAGGAGAAGAGCCAGGGACTTCAATCCTGTTTTCTTCCCTAAAAACTGGAGTGGGTTCGTTCATTCTTTTTCCAAACTTTGGTACTGTGGTAATTGACCAATAATATCAGAGAAGTACTTTGAAAAATCTTGAAATGGAACAAACCATCCCCATACCAGTTAGATGTAATATGTCCCATGTGTTTGTGAGATACATATATTTTAACCTCTAGTTTATGTTTTAAAAGTAATACATGCTCATAACAGCAGGATATTTTTCTGGTAATACTTTGCCTCATTGCCATTCATTACTGAACAGATGTAAGAGTATTCAAATAAATATATGCAATATCAAACATACAGTGCTGAGTACGTAGGGTATGGATGCTTTGCATTCTGTGGGATCCTGCTCACCCTGGTCAACATCTATACATGCATCTTAAAATCTAGTGAGCTCCCCCTCCTAATCCTAAGGATTGTATTTTTATTTCTCTTTCCATAGCTCCCCTCATGAAGCTCAAAAATGAGTGTCAGATTTTTGCTCCTAGAACTGTTCCTAAAATATCTCTTCTTTGTTTTCTTCCAAGAGTAGAAGAATCTGGCATTGTTCTGTCTCCAGTTTCAACCTGGGGCTATTTATGGTGATTTTCCTGTGGTGTAGTTGGAACTGCCTTCCTTCCAAAGTCTCCCTACTAAATTTTTTGCAACAAGCACATTGTATTTATCATGCTCTGACCCAGACTAGCTAAGAGCACGTGCACATTCCTAGACAATTTTGGGAGAATCAGTCACTCCAAATATGTTCTCCTGATTCACAATTCTATTTCAGGCTCTTATCTACAGGCCTTGGTCAAATGCCACTGGGTGATGATACAGATGAAGCCAAGCCTGATCCTTCTGAAACCTTAGCCCCCACATCAGCCACCTGCCAGTGATTATTTTTTTAACTTGGAGGAAAAAGTAGATATAAATCACTTGGTGTGTCTGACAATTTTTTATTGAGGGGATTTATAGAATCACAGGCTCAGAAGAGAAGCCAAGAGCCTGGAGAGTTGTTCTCCTGCCTTGGGGTAAGTTAGCAGTTGGCTTCCTGGGTAGACTGGCTCACTTTTCTTACTATAGTTTTTCAGAATAAAAGATTATATTCCTCATTCTGCACAAAGGATTATAATGTTCAGTAATCCTCACAGCCGGGATATTTTTCCTTTAACCCCCCTGAGAATTAGAGTTGGAAACCATTGGCTTCTCATTTGAATAAACCTCGGTTCCTGAAAAGTCTTGGCATGAGTATGTGGAGTCATCTGTGACCTTTGAAGACATCATCTGTTTTGGACACAGATAAGTCTGTGTTTCTATCATTTTAGTGAGGTTTTTTTTTGATACTTTCTCCAGGTGCCCGGGATCAGATCTGGAACGGCCACCCCTACCTTTTTCCCATGGGCAGAATGGCCCAAATGCAAAGAGGACAGATTTCCTAAGAATGGGAGTGTGTGGAAAAGACGGATGGCCTCCTCTGCACCTGACAGCTTCCCACTGACAACATCTGTGAAGGGAGGAGAGGTATTTACTTTGAGATCCTATTTGTGTCACTAGCAAATCAGATGTAGACTTGAACGGCATCTGTGGAAGTGAAGGCAGAGGCTCTAAATCTGCTTTCTCCTTCAGCCCTGCGGCCACCATGTCCCTCACTCTTGACGTTGGGCAGAGTTTGCTTTATCATTAAGTCTCTGGTGGTGAAACCAACTGCCTACAGCTTGTCAGGCCAAAAAAACCCTCCTGGCAGGGTCCCATGACTGCATGGGGTGGGAAGAACCCCAGTTCTTGGTGGGTGTGTCTTTTCCATTGACATTTTAGTCCCTGGCCCACTTCAGTCCATCTCAGGGACAACAAGACTAGAACTGGAATATGATGAGTTGTTAAGCTCAGAGTCTGATGGACAACTCAGATTCGAGCTCTTCTTTACAATGAAAAATATGTGTTCCTAGTAATATAGATGCCTGTGACCTTCACACGAGATTTCTTCCCAGTAACAGTTCAGATCTAGAATCTGAAGTTGCTCAGAGAACTCAGAAGTGAAAACTTTTACAAAAAATCTCCTCCTCTTAAAAAGACCAGAATTTAAAAACTGAGTTTTGACCTACTGAACTCTTATTATGTACTATGCAAATAAGACATGCTACCTGTCTTCAAGAGCCTAGCCTTGCCAGAGAGGACCTTCACGTATGTGATGTATGATGCTAAATAAATGCCATGGGGAGGTGTTCTGAGCCAGGCAATGTCTGAGAGGGGTCTTGAAAGATGAGTGGGCTGCAGTTAGGTAACAGGAGAAGAAGGGCCGGGGGAGGTGGTGAGGTAAGGGTGAACCACTTCTCCAGGGAACTGCAAGTGGTCCCGTGAGGCAGGATTCAGAGTGCAAGGTGGGAATGATACAATGTGACATTCCATAGACAGGATGAAGGGCAGACCTAAAGCATTAGAGTTTGAGCCTGAAGGCAATTAGGAATCATTACACAATAAGGATCGCCTCCTGTTTGTGACTTTAAAAGCCATTTGGGTGGTGGAGGGAGAGGCTTACATAAGAATGAATTGGTGAAGACAAAGTTGGAGGTAGAGAAACTGGAAAATTCTTGAAATAACATGAGAGATTGGTGTGAACTCAGGTAGTAGCAAGGGGATGGAGACGGATGAGTTGGTACCATATTATGGAGACGAATTAATGGTTTCTCTGATTGGCTGTTACAGCTGTGGGAAAAGAAATCAAGGGAGAAGTAGCTCCAAATTGTGGTCACTGAGGAGAAGGTACTGAGGTCAGTTTCAGAGGTAGGAATTGTGAGATGTGTATGGGGCATCCCAGGGGCAGTGTCCAGCATTGGTCTGGATCATCTGGGTCTGGGTCGTGACTCACTGGTCACTGAGCCATCTGCATGTACGAGTAGGTGAAATCACCCATCGCTTGTGCAGAGGAGCAGAGAATGTGCACTCTGCCCTTGCTTCATGCTGGAGCACAGCCCTTCAGGGTCTCATCCAGTGTGCAGCATTGACAATACTGTTCTCTCCTGGCACCGACGGACACGCACTTACATTCCTCCTCTGTTTTCTGGACTTCACAAAATCACAACTTCCATTATTAAAATCTCACCTATACCTTATAGTTCATTTTAGTTCTCAGGAGGATGTGGGAAAATGTCTTTTTTTTCTGGGAACATAAACAGATGCCTTAATTTGGGTATTAGCTATGCCCAGACACCAAAGTGAAATGATGTATGATGATGCCTTTGGGACAGCTACACTGAGTGACAAATCCTTGCTTCGTTTCCAGATGTGGAGGTGGATTGTTTTCTGTTAATTCTGTTCCCTGACTGCCAGAACTAGATTCCGAGCCCTTTGTCACTATTTTTGTTTCCACAGAATAGTCTCCATATCTGTTTGTCTCTGACCGCTGGTGGATTGTTGTGAACGTTTACATAATGGGCATGGGAGGAGGATGGCTTTCAAAACTTGATTTTCCAAGGCCTGACAAAAGAGTAAATATTTTTAGATTTTTGAGAAACATAATTCAGAGCAGCAAATAAATGTGTCTTAGTGTTCTGAGGGATTCAAATGTTCTAAATGAGGACACTCTCAAGTAGCATCTGTGCCTGTCTCTTCACCACGTCCCTAATTCCCTTTGAGGCACAGTGAAGCAAGATCACTCTGAGCACCGATTGCTTCTCTTCTGAAATAAGTGAGTGCTAGCAGGTCTCCCAATTTGCAGGTGCTGTTTTGTTGAGTCAAAGAATACTCCAAGTAGGAGCATTGGCATGCTGGAGAGGAGCGTCTACACCTCTGCAGTGGGACTCTCTGGAGGAGCCACGTGTTTCCCAAATCTTTTGGAATGGATAGGATGCAATTCCATGCCCATTTTGTGCCTTTTTAATTTTGCTCAATTTGAGACCTCTGGGGTGGACTTGTCTACAAGATGTGAGCCCACCCCAGAAAAATCTCGGTTCTTATGCCATTTCTCTTCCTCCATCCACTAGTGAAGACTGGACACATCTCTGCCTTCACAGGTGAGGGGTGTGGGGGCAGGATGGAGTTGCTGATGTGAACTGGACTTTTATGACTCAACCCTGGCTAGTTTGACTTTAGGGACATGGTTTCTGTACTAATAACAAATGCTGTCAATCAAAGCATCATATCGAAGGGTACAGTGTTAGAGTCTGTAAACAAGTCAAAATAACACTAACAGTACAGAACCTTGTATCTAGAATATTCTTTATTTAGATGGAAAAAAAGTATCAGAATAAAAAAACAAGACTTGTGTCCCAGTGAGTTGATTTTTACTCTGGAGAGAGTGGCTGATTGGAAATAGGTGGGGGGGGGGGAGGCAGAGCACAAGCTACCTCTAAGTAGAAATGGGGAGGGGGGTGGTCAAAAATGAGTTCTGGGGACAGACTTCTATTCAAAAGGAAGGACATATGAATTCATTTTGGAATTCTAAGAGGTGCTGGAAACAGAAATTTAAAAACTGTAAAGATGACCTAGAGTTTTGTTAAGAAGTATCTGGTTTGGCTTTTGTACCCAAGCAGTCAACTGCGCAGCTTAAGAAATGGCTGAATCCTTTCAACCAAAGTAGAGAATGATTAATGCAGAAACAGCAGCCTAGCATTAATGGCAGCATCAGGACAAGTGATGGTGGCAGGCAGCTTTCCGGGCACCGGACACAAAGGTGACTAAAACAGTAAGAGAAAGAACTCAGGGGCATTGTGGTGTGTATCTGCATACAATCTTGTGCAAGCTGGAGCAAGCAGCAGGTAACCACAGTGATCTGAAAGCTATGAGCAGTCCCAACGAATGACTGTCTCTCCTGACATTATTCCCAGGCTCAGGCAGCCTGAGAAATCAGTTTTTACTCTAGGTTATACGCACCACTACGGAGAGCATGTTTTAGGTCCTTGTTTCTCTCTGACTGTACCTCTCTCTATAACTCTCTCTGTCTCTCTTCTGTCTCTCCTCTGTTTCTCATACAAGTGTGCACAATGCTCAGACTTTCAGGTTATGAGACTTTTTTGGAGGCTACATGACTTCTCTAAAAGATCCAGAATTTTGGAGGTCTAGAGCTGGGGTCTGGGGTTTGAACGCATGTGATTTATACACAGGTGGCTCTTTGGAGAAGCAGAAAGAGGTAAGTAAGATAGAGCAGGTGTTATGGTTTAGATATGAAGTGTTCCCCGAAACTGATGTGTGGGACAATGCAGGAATGTTCAGAGGTGAAATGATTAAATTATAAGAGCTGTAACCTAATCGGTGGATTAATACATTTGATAGATTAATAATTTGAATGGATTAATGGGTGAGAACTGTAGCAGGTAGCTCATGACTGGAGGAAGCAGGTCGCTGGGAGAGTGCCTTTGGGAATTATATTATCCCTGATTCGTTATTCCTTGCACTCAAGTCTCATATTCTCTCTCTCTCTCTCTCTCTCTCTCTCTCTCTCTCTCTCTCTCTCCTTCCTGGCTGTCGTGAACTGAGCAGTCTTCCTCCACTGCGCCCTTCTTCCGTGATGTCCTGCCTCAGCTCAGGGCACAGCTATGGGGTCGGCCCACCATGGACTGAGCCTCTGGAACCTAGAGCCAAAATAAACTTGTCCTTCTCTTAGTTGTTCGTATCAGGTCTTGTGGTCACAGTGACACAAAGGTGACTAAAACAGCAAGAGAAAGAACTCAGGAAGCGTTTCGTGTCAGCTGGACTCCACAGAAGCTGTGGAACATCAGTGGCGCCCAGTGTAGGGGTGGGCAGGGCTTATTGTCTTGGGGAGTCTGCTTCTATTCATGGGTAATTCTTCTGAGAAGAGCACTATCCAACACCCACAAATGTTGGGACATGAGGATTCTCACCCAGAAAAGAGGATCTAGGTGGATGCTGCCACAGACTCTACCCTTTTTTTTTGCAGACTGAGTAACTGAGATTCAAGATACGCATTGCACTGGCTACCTAACCAGTCAGTGACACAGCACGAACTCAGAATTAGTGAGCAGAGATCACAGCATGGTCTCCCCATTTCATCCCATCTATGCATGAGACTCCGGGCCCTCTGGTAGTGTTGGTCCCCAAAACCAATATTAAAGCCTGCATGAATCCTGGCTCTGGCTGAGGCCAGCACAGAAGGGTGAAGATTATTTTATATTATTGGAATACAGTTCTCCATGGATCTCTTACGCTTCCATATGTCTTGTGAGGAAAGACACTGACTGCTGTTATTCCTGACCATCTTTTCAATGATATTTGTTTAGCCAACAGCCTTGGGAGACAGGGACAGGGTCTTTCCCAGGCAAGGGGAGGCATGCTTCCTATTCTACAAGGTTTGGATTCATTAAGCTCAGCTGTCATCTCTCATAGCATAATACACAGAGTATGTCCTCTAAGCAGTGCCTTCTAAAATTGGGCTCAGGGAACTGATGTAAAAGTAGGATATTCTGGCTGTTGCTAGTGCTACGACTAATAAAATGTCCTTTGCTTCTGACCCGGGAATGTGTTTTTCTTTTTTTTTTTTTTTTACCAATATGAAATTGTGCCAGGTT